GTGCATATATCTGCTTGGGTGTCAGTTATGGTCTCTTCGGGGTATATTCCCAGTAGTGGTATTGCTGGGTCAAATGGTATTATGCAGCAGGCAAGAGTAATAATTTTGTAAATTACTACCTAACTTGGGAGGGACTGCAGAGCATTATGCTTAGTGAACTAATTTAGTTTCGCAGACAAATGCTGTGTAACACCATTACTGTAAAACAAGTATGAATATCCAAGGATAGGAGGGGGCGCTAAATCATAGGGACATATAATTTGATGAGTAAAGGGAAGGGTGGGTAAAAGAAATGGGAAAGATCTGATGTGAAAAATAATGTATATGAACATTATAAATGTTATAAGTAAAACAGTAAAAAAATTTTAAAAGGACAGAGCTGAGATACATCTAAGGACAAGTTAGTAGAGCTTTTTGGTGGAGAAGCTAAAAGGAGCAAACTGCATAAAACCAGAATTTCATAAATTTGCATAGTCTCCATTCAGCACACAGTAGCATGTTGACCAGAAAAGATGTGTGAAAAACTGCTCAAGGCAAGAACAAGAACAGGAAAAGGTCAGAGGTAAATGTATTGGTCACTCAGGCTGGAAATAGTTCCCGCCCTGCTGGGAAAACCTTTCGCTTTGAGGGCAAGATGCAAGGTATTCCTGAAGCCTTCTGCAGGTAACAAATAATTGGCCTTTGGCTGAAAACTGCTAAAGTTGTACCTAATAAATATTAAAAGCAAGAATTTTTAAAAATCACAGTGTTTTAAATGAATTTTACTGTGTCACAGAATAAAGCCCAAGAATATTTCTTAAAACTCAACTTATTGTCTTTAAGTCAGAACCGAATCATAGCTCCCTCTTCAGTATGTGTTTGGAGGCTAGAAATCACCCAAAAGGTGACTGACGTCTTGCTGCCATGGAACCAGTGGAGGATTCCAATTTCCAGAGAGGTACCACTTTTGGGCTAAGTTGTGCAACTCCCTAGAGTAGGCCATCAGAGTTTAGAATGCTTATAGGATTAAAAATTATTCAGGATCCACCACAGTAAAATTCACAATGTGTGGTGACCAACTAAAAATTTCCAAGGATGCAGAGAGATGGAAAAATACATTACAAAATGAGGAGGGGGGAAATTTAAAACTATTGACTTTCAACTTACAGAATTAATAGAATTAGGAGCTAAGACTACAGTTAACTCTGTAGTCAACTCGATGACATCTAACAACAACAAAGCATATGTTTAAAATAAATAAGAAGAGATACAGAAAGCATAAAAATAGATTGAGTAGACTTAATAGCAATTATTACAGAAGGAAAAGTAGTAAACTTAAAACACATTAACCATAGAAACTATTCACAAAGAGAAGAAAGGTAGTAAGGGAGAAAAAACAAAGACCGTATGAAAGAATGAGGGAAGAGACAGAGCATTAGGAGGCAAGAAGAAGTTCTAAAAAATATTTTCAAATATGAAATGTTAGGGATTTTCTAAGATTGATGAACACTATACACTCTGATGTAGTCAATAGTGAGTTGCAGGTTTCAGGCTGTTCAAATGCAGCAGGGGCTCTGATGGAGAAGAGTAGACAGTTTCCTCATTTTGCAGTTTACAACTTGGGTAGGAGGGTTGCTTTGAAGCACAGGGTTCACATGAATCAGAAATGATTTGACAGTAGTAAGTGAGTCTAAGCTCACAAATTTTAAAACTTCAGTGATGCCCAAGCACAGAAATTTGAATAAAATGTTATCAACACACATCATAATTAATTGCATTAAGTCAATGATAACAATAACAACAAGAAAAGTCTTAAAAGCAGCTGAGGGAGAGGAGATCATGTTCAGAAGAACAAAGACATATCATGAGATTTCTTGTCACAAACGATGCAAACAACATCATTAAAGATATTAAATTATTTTTTTAAAAAAAGATCAGCAAATAATTCTACACCTAAAAAAAAAAGAGCTGTGATACAAAGAGATGTATGTACACCGAAGTTTGCTGCAGCATTA